AGGAAGAGCACGTTTCTCAAATTTCAAGAGAGCCGAAGGAAGGAATTGTATTCCAGACAAAAACCAAGAACCAGCCGATAATCCTCCAAGTCCCTGGGCTTTACTCTTGAGCATACCTTAGTTTCAGAAAGCTTCTGGGACAGCAAGAGCAGGGAGTTCTCTGGGCAGGGTTTGCAGGGGAGGTGTTCCAGCTGTGATGGCCTCAGCAGCCCTGGCTGCCCTGCAGTGCAGCTGTGGCTCAGGAGCTCTGCAGGAGTGCTGCAAGCAGCAGCCCAGGAAAGCAGCCTGCCCCCCAGGAACGCTCTGCAGGCACAGCGAGTGACCCCCCAGCTCACACAGTGCCCTGACCCCAGCTGGCACCACAGCCCAGCCTGCAGCTGAGCCTGCAGGACACCGAGAGCGAAGGCAGAGCAGGCGGGGTGCTCGCACAGGCTGCTCACATCCAGCACCCACGCCACCATTCCCATCTCATCCCACCCTAGGGCAGCAGGCTGGCTAGTCTAGTCTCAGCTAATCCAACCCGCCAGAGCTCTGGGCAAGATTCATGACCCTGCAGTTGTATGTCACTGGACATAACTACATACAGCTTCTCTGAGCCTGCAGCCTCTTCAACAGCTTGTAGTAGAGACTTTCTCTTTAAAGGGAAAGACAAATAAGGACATGCTTTTTTAGAAAAACATGCCAACCCAAAGCTAATCCTGAGAGAGCCTTGCTACTATGGCAAAAAACCTGACCTACTGCCAAAAGTGACAGCCACTGCCACCACAGGAGGAACCACGTGCTGGTTTTCATCTTTGGCACACTGTCCAAGCACTGCCCCAAGGACAGGCATTGCTTCTCAAATGCAAATAAAAAAATGCATGAACTTCAGACCTGTAAAGCTTCTAGAAATAACAACTTTCTAGCACAACCAATGGAGCACAATGCAGGAAAGTAAAGCAAGTGCTGGGAAGCTGTGCCAGAAGAGGGGTGTGCTGCCAAGTTTAGTCATGTACAGACAATGAAGGTAAACACAGGACTCTGCAACACAGTGCTGGCTTCACTGTGCACGAGGCAGTTCTGAGTCTGCAGGTGGATTTATCTCAGTGCATGTTCCTGACCTACTTACTTCCACTTTTCAGCTGGGAAACCCAGGAGCAAGGCTGCTCAGACACAGCAGAGAACTTCCAGTGGGAGCTCAGCTCCTATCCCACTAACAGAACTGCCCCAAACATGATCCCCTCGGGTACCCATCCCTCATCTTGCCATACAGATGCTGTGTTATCACACTCCTTTCCCCTTCTAACCTTGTAGCAGTGATCAGATTTCTCTTGCACAACTTTCCTCTGACTGTCCCCCTCAAGCCTGCCAGAGCTGTGTATTAAAACCCCGACTGCCAGCAATTCAGACCTTTCCAAAACACCAGTGAACCTCCAAGGTTGGGCAACAGACAGTGATAGCAGATCCCCAGATTAAGAATCAGCCTTCTGACCTTGTTGCTAACACACAGCTACGCTTGCCTCCACAGCAGTTTTCCATTAACACCTGCATTCTCCACTGCTCTAATGAAGATGTGTGCAAAAGCAGGGCTGTCTGGGGACTTGGGGACAGAGGGACTGAGCCAGGGGAAAACAGATTTGGGCAAGGCAAGCTCGAAAGGCATTTTACAGTAGCTAGAAGCACTGCTAAACTTGTTCTAAGGCAGAGAAGACTGCAGGAATAAAAATACTGCAAGAAACGCTGCACCCAATGGCTGTCTGATCTCACACCAGCTGATAGCAAAGGTAACAACCCAAAGCTGTGCCCATCAGAAATCATCACAGGAACCCAACTGTCCATGCTTTTGTGCTTCTGCACTCAGGAGGTCAGAGGAGCCTCAACAGTTTCCAGGCTGGGGGGAAGAGAGCAGCAGCCATCAGCCCCTTGCCTGGCACAGAGCCCAGCACACGAGCCCGGGTGCCTGGCACAGCTCGGGGGGTTTCTGCAGCAAGGAGCCCACTCACAGCCTGCCCTCAGCTCCAGGTGCTGAGAGCTGCCCCAGACACAGGCAGTGCCTGCCCCACGGGTGCTCTGCAGGGCACACGGGCACTGGGAACAGCAGGTGCCAAGGCGGCCAGGCTGACCCTGCTCCCAGTGAGACCTTCCTCTGCTCCTCCCCAGATTCCACGGGCACTGCTGAAACGCACAAAGGATTCTTCCACCTTCCACCCTCCCTCAGCAATCAACTGTGGCTGGAGAGGCAGAGATTACACTGCATAACTTTTTAACCCGATTGCTGGCACTGCAGGCGTGATGCCTGCTCCAAAACCCAGCGCGGGGGTGAGAGGGGGAGGCCACGAGCACTGGGCTTCCCACTCCTGAACTGCATCCAACCTGCTGCACTACCGAACGCCAGTGAACTTTGCTTTAGGTGACAAACTTCAAAAATCACCTCGATGCCACAACAGCAGCGGGGGCTGGAGGCCATGGTGGGTCGCTCAGGGGACTCACGTGCCTCGGGACGAAGGCCAGCCACAAGCCACGCTGCTTCCACGCCTTTTGCTTTGGAGACCAGAGAAAAGAGCTGAGCCTGAGACGGGTGCTCAGGCTCCCAAGTTCTTGGAGATACAAACACCAAAGTGAGCAAACCCAGGGCAGGTGGAGGCGTCCGAGGGTCGGGGCCAGCCCGGGAGCTGGCGCTGAGAACAGCGAGGACAGGGCGCTGCACACTGTCCCTGCGCCTGGCCTGAGCCACTCAGGCTCCACCACAGAGCAAGAACAGCCAGCAGACAACTAGTTAATCCTGCAGTGTCCAGCTGAGATGTCTGAGCCTCTGTCCTTTCCAGGAAAGCTCTGGCTCATGAGCGTTTCCTAACATGTCAGTGGCGCCCGCAGCCCGGCCTCCCAGGCGGACCCGCGTGTCCGCCCGTGGGCAGCGCCACGCGGTGCCCGCACCCCGCGCCGGGAGCGCCGCCGCCGCCCACGGGCTCCGGGGAGCGCCGCCGGGACCCGCGGG